TTTCCCTCCTCCTTTCCCTCTCTGGCTCTTCTGAGGCAATAGCTCCTTTCAATCCCTTCATTTTTTGGTAAGGTCTTGTTTCTGTTTCACGGAACAAACAAATAAAAAAAATAAAAAAAAATTCTACAGCCGTGGGAATCCTTGTTTTCTAGCCGGTGTTCACACCCTGCATATCCCATTCCAACTAAGAGCTAATTTCTACTTAACAAGGGCTGTCACTTGACTACCTAAAATATCTGAAAATCAGTATTGAATAGATTCACATATGATTTATTCACCCTGCTCAATGTCTTGAATTATCTGTTTAACTAATAATACTCAGCAACTCTGTTTCCTGCCTTGCGTTTAGTATAAGAAATAGTTTTGATAAAATGTTTTAAATTATGGTATGAACAATCATGTGTCATTACACAAGCCAAGTTATGCATGGTATTCCTGAAGTTGACTATTACTTATGCTATACAACACAAATTTAAAATTAGAACATATGACTAAATCGGAGAGACTTTATTTTGTTCCCTAATCTTGCAGAACAAAAGTAGTTTTTACAGAGGGCAAGCACAAGACTTCTGCACTTCTAAGAGAACATTTTAACATTCTTTAGAAAGTTAGAGCGATCAATAGGCCTTCTGTAACACTATGAAAGAGCTGTGCCCATAAAGTTACTAAATCACTCTGGGAATATAAGCACAGTGACATTTTGATAATAGAATATAATTATATTGCTTTGTATCATAAGGGAAAAATAAAACTAGCCCTGGACTTCAGGAGAGCATACTTTAACCTCTTCAGGGATCTGCTTGCTGGAGTACAGTGGGACAAAGAACTGGAGGAAGAGGGGCCCAAGAAAGCTGGCTAGTATTCAAGGACCACTTCCTCCAAGCTCAGAAGCAATGCATACCGACAAAGAGGAAGTCAGACAAAAATGCCAGGAGGCCTGTGTGGATGAATATGGAGCTCCTGGAAAATCTCAAACAGAAAAAGGAAGCCTACAGAGGGTGGAAACAAGGACAGGTAGTCTGGAAGGTATATAGAGAAATTGTCTGAGCAGCCAGGGATCAGGTTAGGAAAGCTAAAGTCCAAACAGAGGTAAATCTGGCCAGGGGTGTCAGGGGCAACTATTAAGCCTTCTATAGGTATATCAGTGACAAAAGGAAGATGAGGGAAAATGTGGGCCTACTCAGGAAGGAAATGGGAGACCTGGTCACCCAGGACATGGAGAAGACTGAGATACTCAATGACTTCTTTGCCTCAGTCTTCACTGGGAAGGGCTCTAACCACACCGCCAAAGTTACAGAAAGCAAAGGCAGGGACTGGGAGAATGAGGAACCACCCACTGTAGGAGAAGACCAAATTCAAGACCAGCTGAGGAACCTGCAGGTGCACAAGTCCATGGGACCTGATGAGATTCATCCATGGGTCCTGAAGGAACTGGTGGATAAAATTGCCAAGCCACTATCCTTCATATTTGAGAAGTCGTGGCAGTCTGGTAAATTTCCCCCTGACTGGAAAATGGGAAACATACACACTATTTTTAAAAAGGGTAAAGAAGAAGACCCGGGGAACCACAGGCTGATCAGTCTCAGCTCTGTGCCTGGCAAGATCATGGAGCAGATCCTCCTGGAAACTCTGCTAAGGCACATAGAAAAGAAAGAGGTGGTAGGTGACAGCCAACACAGCTTCAAGAAAGGGCAAATCATGTCTGACAAATTTTGAGGCCTGCTATGATGGCATTACAGCCTTGGTGGATAAGAAGAGAGCAACAGATGTCATCTACCTGGACTTGTGCAAAGTATTTGATACCATTCCGCATGACATCCTGGTCTCTAAATTGGAGAGACTTGGATTTGACCAATGGACCACTTGGTGGATAAGGAACTGGTTGGATCATTGTACTTAAAGAGTTGTGGTCAACGGCTCCATGTCCAAGTGGGAAGCAGTGACAAGTGGTGTTCCTCAGGGGTCAGTACTGGGACTGGTGCTGTTTAACATCTTTGTTGGTGACACGGATGTTGGGATGGAGTGTACCCTCAGCAAGTTTGCTGATGACACCAAGCTGTGTGGAGCGGCCAACATGCTGGAGCGAGGAATACCATCCAGAGGGACCTGGACAGGCTTGAGAGGTGGGCCTGTGCAAACCTCATGAAGTTTAACAAGGCCAAGCGCAAGGTCCTGCATGTGGGTCGGGGCTATCCCATGCACAAATAAAGGCTGGGCAGAGGATGGTTTCAGAGCAGCCCTGAGGAGAAGGACTTGGTGGTGTTGGTTGATGAGAAGCTCAACATGAGCCAGCAATGTGCGATCTCAGCTCAGAAGGCCAACCATATCCTGGGCTGCATCAAAAGAGTGGCCAGCAGGTTGAGGGAGGTGATTCTGCCCCTCTACTCCGGTCCTTCTACTCTCAACTACACCTGGAATATTGCATCCAGCTCTGGTGCCCCCAACATAAGAAGGACGTGGACTTGTTGGAGCGGGTCTAGAGGAGGACCACGAGGATGATCAGAGGTCTGGAGCACCTCTGCTATGAAGACAGGCTGAGAGAATAGGGGTTGTTCAGCCTGGAGAAGAGAAGGCTCCATGGAGATCTTATTGTGGCCTTCCAGCACCTAAAGGGGGCCTACAGGAGAGCTGGGGAAGGACTTTTTATTAGGGCATGTAGTGATAGGACAAGGGGGAATGGCTTCAAACCAGAAGAGGGGAGATTTAGAATAGACATTAGGAAGAAATTTTTCACTTTGAGGGTGGTGAGGCACTGGAACAAATTGTCCAGGGGAAGTTGCTACTCTCCCTATATTACATACTTATCCAAAACCTAATTTTTAAAAATGCCCAAAGCAGCTGCATGCTGGATTGTTGGTTCACACTCAGTTTTTATTCTTAAAAACCATAATGGTGGAAGAGACGGGGGAAATAAGAGAGAGTACAGGAAAGAGGAAGGACTGCAGATACCACCTGCAAAGCAAAAAGTGACTTTTCATCAATATGGTAATAATTCCCCAACCAGTAGTTTGACTGGCAGCAATATGAAACTAGAGATAATTGTATGATCTTAATCAATATACAAGCTATCTATAACATTAGTCAAGTAGATCAGCAGAGTATCATATCTGTCTTACTTACTTGCTTATTTTAGGGAGACCATTTATTAATGGAGGGATTTGGGGGACTGGAGGCAGGGATGAAAAGGACAATGAAAGAAAATGTACAGAATAAAGGAAAAAGGGGAATAACTGTAAAACTGAAATAAAAAAAAAAAAAAAAAAAGAAAAAAGAAAGAAGCAGAAATTACTTTCCAGAAGTAGGACTAACAGAAGAAAAATCTAAGATAGGATTTTTTTAGAATCTTCATGACTAGAAAGACTCTAGGGATTTAAGTATATGGCAGTTTTATGTATTATTTTAACCTACTGTCTTTGTGTTAAAGAAAGGTCGAAACAGAAACAATTTTCTTGGTTTAGCTGATATGGCTGTTGGCTGCAACTGCTGATCTTTACATAACATAAGGAGACCTGAAGGAAATCCAAGGGATTTATTTTAAAAGAAAATGACCAAAAAATGTG